ATAAAATGGTGACCACAGTGATTACTTCTATAATCACTTAGTTTATATTGGCTATATATGATCTAATATCGAATAGAAAGTTAATTGGATGAATGTGCCCTAAGCCCACAACCAAACGAGGAACAGGAAGTAAGGCGGAAAGCACACATCCAACTACCTATTGGGTATTAATGATATATAACGATGATATATAAACTAAAGTATTATAAAGTTAATCACCTAAGGTGCTTTAAGTTTTACTGGTTTAATAAAATGGATTAAACCCTTTACTGGTCAAGTTTCTAGTTTTGTAATCCAAAAGTTCTGATTTGGAAAGTATGTTTTGTACTAGAAAAATTGTGCTTTGGCTCTGTGTCCTATGACTTGACCCATACTTGGTACCCTTATGATGACTTAATGTATACTAAGCATATATACATCTAGAATCGAATAGAAAATAGATTGGATGAATTCGTTCCAAGCCCACAACCGAACAAGGAACAGGAAATGAAGCGGAGAGCACACATCCTATTACCTGTCAGATCCTATATATATATATATATATATATATATATATTATATATATATATATATCTATATATATATCCTTTGATGTATACATTAAGGAATCATAAGGTTAGCATTATGGTCCTTTCTATTAAACATAGCCTTCTACCAAGGCATATAATGCTATGTGTGTTCGTTTCTTGCATGAGTAGGTATTTTCCCAAATTAGACTATCATTAACCAAAAATATAGTTTTTACATTACCGAACATGTGAGAATATCACAATGAATGCAATGGGGAAATAATGTTAGTACTGTAGTGTTGTATTATAGTAACTACTTATGTACTACTTACCTTAAACCAATTGTTATTTAAGGTATAATGTGATATGATTGCACCATACTATCGACTAATAACAAGACGATGAAAGACGTCGGAAGGAATGACATTTGGCACCCGTAGACTTGCAAATCCCACTATAGCTAATAGGTAGGTGTAGGATAGTCAATCAAGTATATGTCTATACCCAAATTCACGCTCTCCCTCTACGAGATTCTGGCTGCAAATCGAACCATGACAGGTGATGCCATGCCTCGAAACAATGATCCACATTTATGTTATGGTATACTTGAATAAGTATTGTATGTACTAGTTGTAATGTATATACTAGCTGTTTTGTATGTACTAGTTGTATTGTATGTTCTGTTTGTTTCTCATAATAGTATGCTCTGTTTGTTTCTCATCATAGTATGCTTTGTTTATTTCTCATAATAGTATGCTCTGTTTGTTTCTCATCATAGTGTGCATTGTTTGTTTCTCATAATAGTATGCTTTGACTCATGTATGAACTGACTCTTTGTATGCTTCATTGTACTAGAAGTAATGAGTAGTATCTTCCTAAACTATACCTATTATAGTTTACTAATGTTTTACTTGAACTGCTATTGAAAAGACTCATTTATCTACTAAGTTATGATTGTACTTTAAAAACGGAGTTTGTAAAACTATAAAGTATCATAACTTTAAAAGAGTTTTTGAAATGTTTTGATCACTTATAAAAGACATAAGCAATCTTTTGAAAGATGTTTATAACAAACAATTACACAATTATCATTCTGTTCAACTTGTATTCCCCCCTTAAAAGCATTTAAAGCAGTTAAAAGATTCATTACGGGGTATGAACTCACCTGATGTGGGTGATTCAACGGATACGCGTGTAAGGATGAGAAGTTCCACGAATGAAGTCTCGAGACACAAGAAGTCCTAAATGACATATATTGGCATGAATATAGTGTTTATAAGCAACTCTATGAAAGGAAACACCTTCCGGGACTAGGAAACACTTTGACCAAGTGTTGGAATCACATGTGATTCATCAAAGGGAAGTGGAATGGCACTAACTTGAGTTTACTACCATGGGTTTACGGCTAAGGGAGTTTACGGCCATAAACTCATGGTCAAACATGCATAAGTGTGGGTTTGAAGGCTAGGGAAGTTTGAGGGACTTTTGCTCTACACAAGGGTGAGAAAGACCACCTCAATGGAGGCTTTTGATGAGTTTACGGCCCAAAGGAGTTTACAGCCGTAAACTCATGGTCATTTATGCATTTGAGAGAAGTTTAAGGTCCTATTTCCATCAAGGAAGGGTTCTAGGTCACAAGCTTTGCATCTAGAAGGGTTTATGGCCAAAATGGCACCGTTAAAGGGGTTTACGGCCATGTGAGATGGCTTGGCCGTAAACTCCTTTTGTTCTTGTTTTTTTTTTATGTTTTCAAGTCTCTAAGCATGAGTCCTAACTAGATATGAAGTATAGGGAAGAGTACTTACGATATAGAGGCTTGAAATGGTTGATTTTCGCCAAGAACACTATTATGTGTTCTTGGTGTTCTTGAAGATCTAAGAAAAGTTGATTTCCATGGATGAAATCAAAGAGGGTAACTAGGAGATGAAGTGTAACAACAAATCAAGGAAAGAATACTTACACTTTTGAAGATCTAGAATGAAAATCATGATGAGAGTTGAGAGAGCAATGGAGTGTTCTTGAGGTGAAAGTGAGATAATGAATGAAGATGAAGGATATGAGCCTATGAGGGGGACTTTACTGCCCACCTTGATTTTATGGTCGTAAACTCAAGTGTTGTGGCCGTGAACTCTTAATGAAGATGTTAAGGCTCGATTTCGTGCACAGTGTCTCTAGCAGGTACATTCTAACACTCATTCCTTAAGCGTATTAGGCTTAAAACTCCTTAGAAATGACCTTTAACCAGACTAGAACTCAGTACCAATGAGTCTGACACTCAGTTGAGTTGATTAATTGAGCTTTAAAAGTAAAAAATTTTCGGTTTGTCACGCGGATGCACGAACTTTTATCTAAGATATTCAGCAGCTTGAGGTGAGTCTCCTCACTATACTATGGGTCGAAGGCACCAATGTCGTCCCACTGGCTTATGTATTATTGGAAGACCAGGGGATGCCCTAGGCATTTATATGTATGATCCGAAGGTGGCTCCTGGCAAATTTGTATGCAAGACCACGGATCGGACCTTGGTAGTTAGATAGGTACGTATATGTTTTTAGATAGTATGCTAGTTGTCTTAGTGATACTTGCATGGAAAACCAGGAGGTGGCTCTTGGCACTTGTCTGTAAGACCTAGGATTTTGGCCCCCAGCCTGGCAAAAAAAGAACATGATACGTCTTGTGGCATAATGGCAAGACTATGGTTGGCACATAACATTCTCTATTGTATGTATCGTATGTGGTAATTTGGGGAACTCAATAAGCTTCGTGCTTACGGTTTATTGTTTATGGTTTCAGGTACTTCCGATACGAAAAGGAAGGGCTCGACATGACTGCACTGCATCTACCCATGTTTCGTAATGTGATGATTTTAGGATTGTACTCTAATGAATGTTTTATTATAAACTACTTTTAAATGTTTGAATATCATATAATTGGTATTTTGGTTGAATTAAAAAATGAATTTTTTACCTCGTAATTTTTGGGTCATTACATCCGACAAAACCAAGAGGGGTATATGAAGGAATCGAACCTAAAGCCAAAATTGCGAACGATGAAAACATAGAAGCAGATGGGTTATTTGCAGATCGATGAACGGTTTGAGTTACCGAATGACGTAACTAGTAGTGAACGCCTATGCCTAGTAACACACACATATTCAACTTGTGAGGATGAAGAATTTGAAGATGAAGAATATACAAGCGATGAAGAAGATTGAATGGATTTTTCTGACCACGATTCAGACGAAAATGAACTTGATTGTTAGGAACATTGTTTGTTTTTTTTCCAGTTTAAATGATGTGACATTTATCATATTGGTATGTTCTCTTTAAATTATATGAGATTTATCATATTAGCATCTAACCGTTCTAGTTCAATCAAATGTAGGATACACACATTATATCGGGTAGTCGTGGAAGGAAACCTCGATCACATGACTCTGCTACTCGTGGTTGTGACAATACTAGTAGTCAACGACATGACTCTGCTCGTGGTGGTGACAATACTGGTGGTCGACCGCACGACTCTGCTCGTGGCAGTGACAGTACTAGTAGCCGACCTCAACCTCAGGACTCCAGTCCTAATGAACGATAGCGACAAGGATGTATACGTCTTACACCGTTGAGTGTTCGTGATGCTGAGAACTTAGGTCGTGGATACGCTGGCAGTACTAGCGATGTTGATATTGTTGGATTAGTGTCTAAGTCCATAACTATTTTGGTATGTACTTGACCCGATTATGAGCATGGTCCTTTTGGGTTGCCTTCACCATAGCAATATGTAGGATGAATTAAGGAGAGAAAGGTTTAATTATGATTTATTAATATATTATAAGAATAATATATTAAAGGAGAAATCATATATTTTAATTAATATTAGTCAAGAATTAATTAAGAATTAATTTTGTGGCTAAAAGAGATTAATTAAATTAAGGGGACTGATATTGTAATTATAAGATAGTTACAAAGTTGGGCTTAGGATCCATTAGATGGCAATGGACGAAATCTATATGGAGGACCATAAAGAAATCGTCCAAGGGCCTTTTGGAATGGTCCATTGGACTGCTTAGGGCTTAAGTAGTCAGATTAGGGTTTCCTAGTTGCAAACCCTAATAGTCTACATGTATATATAGGACCCCTATGCCCCAAAAACGTGGCTAAGTGTTCCTCTAGGGTTTCCAGCCGTTTTTGGTGCATCCTCTCTCCTCCCTCTTCATCCAAGTTGCTTAGTGGTGTTTGTGACTCCATTAGAGGTGCAGCATTTGAGGCACTAAGCTTTCTAAAGCCAATCCAAGCAAGGATTGATTGTTATTGCTATATAACAATCAAAGGTAATTACTAAACCCTTATTTCAGTTCTTATTTGATAGATCTAGGGTTTGTAAGTCTTGGATTCATTGCATGTACAATAGAGAAACCTAGATCCAAGCATTAGGGTTTGTATGAGCACATAGGATTGTTCTTATGCATAAAACCCATCAGATATATCTGATCAAATGGGCGATACGCAGAGGATAGTTAAACGTCGTCGTGTATACGAGGCCCATAACTCTGGCATCGACCCTGACAATGATGCTGAAGAAGAAGAAGATGATGATGATACGCATCACGATTCAAATGTCGTAGATAAACCTCATAGATATGGTGATAACAGACCATATCTTAAGAAGTTCGGTAAAAAGTATGTCATTTTAACAGTTAAATTTATGTTGTTGACTAATATTATAAAAATACTTACTTGGTTATATTTCACTATTATAGGTTTGCATCAGGTACAACATTAGATCAGGATTATATTTGATCAATTTTTGGATGGAGCGTGACCTACATTTACTAAGCTTCCGCCTACAGTATTTCAACAAATGTTTCGTGCTTTTAGGGTAATATCAATTAATAATTTGTATACCTTAATTTGACTTGTTTTATGTTTGCATTTTTAGCTTTAGTTTTTTTTAAACATAAATACTATCGGTGGGATTCGCTAAATGAAGGCATGATCGAAAATGGAGTTAAAAGTGTGGTGCAAGATTGTTATTTGGACATAATGAGTGAATATCGACATGAATATGCAAATAGAGCTCGAGCGGCCGGTCACAACATCGCAGACACAAATAATGACATTGCAATCATGCGGCATTTTGAGCCTATTACTTTCAATGAGGACGTATGGAAGGATTTGTGTAAAGTAAGCTAATTAATATATTACTGTTTTTTTTTTGTTTTTTGCCTTTTATATATTATCTTACATATTCTTTTTATAGTATTGGGACACAGATGCTTGGAGAAAGAATTCGGCGGCCGGGAGGACCAACCGTATGAGCAATGACAACACCGGTACAATTTCGAGCCATACAGGGGGATCTAGGGGATACGATCAGTATCGACTGGAATTGGTAATTATGTGAATCAATATTTGTATAATTTAGTAATTAGTTTTAGTTAATCACATATTACACTAATTATACTATGTGTTTTATGTAGCAAAAGGAATCGAAGCATATCCCTACATTTATGGAACCTTTTCTTATTACCCACCTTACTACAGAGGCCAACAAAAAATTCAAGGCTAAAGATAATGATACAATTTAAGAGTTGGAGTTTTGTACACCTACTGCTAGAGCAATATGTGTAATTTATATTTTCCTTTTTAGATAATTAGTACCTCAACTTTAAATAGTAAAATAATAACACTCATTTTGTTTTGATAAATTGTAGGAGAGACACACTAGTGTCATGGTTGAAAAGTACAGGGAGGACCTAACTCGACATCTAGAAGGCGATGTTGACTTGTGGGTGCAAGCACAAGAAGGGAGAGGCAAATGCAGATGTATTTACGGGGTAGGATGTCCAGATCTACATTTCGTTGTCACGGGGACATCATCCAACGAGAACAAACCGACCTCTTCTGACTACCAGCAGTCACACCAACAGGTTTTATTCTTTGACATATAAATAAACAATGTAAAGTAGATAAAGTATGTTGTTATTATAGATAAAAAATAAAGTTTGTTGCTACTATGGATAAAATAAAGTTGTTGCTATTATTTAAAAAACATAGAAGTATATGGTCTTTGGTAATAAATAACAATTAAAGTATGTTGGTATTATGAAAAAAAAAAGGTAAAATGCTATAATTGATAGAAAATAAAAGTATGTTGCTATTATATATAAAAAATGATAATATGTTGCTATTGTGCATAAGAAAATTTAAGTTCATTCCATTTATTAGTGAAATGTATGTTGCTATAATAGATAAAAATGTTAATATACATTTTTTTTACTATTTTTTATGTTACTAATGTATGTATGTTTCTTTTAACATTTTAGGTCTGGGAATTGGAACAAGCTCATGCTGCCAACAAAATGGTGAAATGGCCGAAAGACAAGCACAAATGAAAAAAACCAAATGGCGGAAATGGTCGAGTTCATGAGATGATATGAGGCTAATAACCGTCCCGACAATCCATCCAATCCATCGAATGCTTCTTAGGTTAGTTGTTGTAAACGTTCGTACGTTTTTATGACTTCTATATTATGTTTTTGGTTTAAACGATTGTTGAAACTTATGTTCTAAAGTGTAAACGTTTGTATGACTTTTAGATATATGGAATGAACTTAATTTTTTTGTATTAGTTTTTTTTCTGCATTTTAGGCTGAATTTTTTTGGTTTTTTTGTTTGTTTTTTTTTCCTGTTTTTCTAAATTTTTTTTATAGCTGCACTGTTTCTGGGAAATTCCTAGAAACTTTTGTCATGAAAAAGTGTCACGAAAAGCTGTCAACAAAGTGTGTGGTACAAGGAAATTTGTCGGGTATTTATAGGTAATTCTTCGGAAAAAATGTTTCGTAGGAGATTCCTCGGAAATAAATTTCCTTGGAGATTCGTCGGAAATAAATTTCCTCGGAGCTTCGTCGGAAATAAACTTCTTCGGAGATTCATCGGAAATAAACATCCTAGAAGATTCTTCGGAAATAAACTTCATTGGAAAACCCTTGGTATTTCCGACAAAACTATTTCCTAGGAAATGCGTCGGAAAATTCCTCGTAAATCCCTTACAAAACATTTCCTAGGAGGGTTTTACCTACGCATAAGATTTTCTCGGCATTTCCTTGGAACACCGTTTTTCTAGGAATTTTCGAGGAAAATGTCCCTTGGAAAAAGCGTTTTTTTAGTAGTGGATGCTTTTGTATTATATATACGAGTTGCAAAATATGTTAAACTTACATCCTAGAAGGACTTCGATAAAGGTGTGTGAACAATATTTTAGTTTTCCGATCTTACAAGCCACACTAGAAATTTAAAATTCCATACACTTTTATGAAAATATTTTTTTTAGATAAACAATTGTTTAAAGGGAATATTTTAGTTATCATCATACAACAAATGAAAAGGCAAACGGGCAACAAGTTGCGCCGTTAAGCCCTTTTGCCAAAAAGATAAAAGTGTGGAGCGAAAAAAAATCTAGAACTATATTTTTTAAGTATATGCAAGTTGATTTATTTTATTAACAGCTGAAATGACAAAAATTTATTAACAAAATGATCGGCTAACATTGTTTTAATATAAACCGATCAATAAAAAAGATATTTCATTATATTTTTTGTAATTATTTTTAAAAGTACACTAGATTGGTAAATATTTGTAAAGATATTTGTAAAGATATTTGTACAATAGATTGGTAAATATTGTACTTCTAAAAATAATTATCAAAAATAGTGATGTAGAACAACGAAAATATGAGATATATGAGTAACAGAATGAAAAGATGCAATTCACATGGTTAAAAAAAATTGATAAATGCATATGAGAAGGGGAAGGTCAGGGAAACTCAAAGTGAAGCGATGGGAACAAAAAAAGGAAACAAGTCACGATTTTTTTTTTCATTTTAAATGAAAATACAATTGCTTGGTAAATAACTTTAAAATTACTACTAGTTTGGGAAATATTTTTCAAAAATACAATATTTCTGAAGGGTTTATGTTATGGTTTGAGCTAGTCTTTAGATGTATAGGTCTTTTAGTATTGTAATGGAAGTGTTTTTGGTATGTTTACGGCCATTGGTATGTTTACGACCGTAAACAGGTTTATGGCCGTAAACCTGATTACGGCCTTGTCTAGTTTACGGTCAAGTCTTCTTTCCTATAAATAGGTCCAGTCTGTGTTAGTTACTTGTGGTTGATTCACAGTGTTTACGGCCAATCAGAGTTGTACTTGACGTTTTCATAATCCAAACGTGTGCAAGCTTTGATTCATTCTTCTTCTACTCATTTCTCATCTTGTTTGATTGTTAGATTGTTTGATCACTAGTTAAGATCCTGTTCCTAGGATCTTACAATTGGTATCAGAGCAAGTCTAGTGTCAAAACATCTTTCAATCACGTTTTCAGTTAAAGGAGTTAAGCTTCATCGTTTTTCAAGACTGTATTTGGTGTTTTCGTATCATAAGGTGATTAGATCTGCTTACAATTCAAGTTTTCAACAAATTATGGGTGTTTACGGTCAATAGTTTACAACCGTATACAGTCAATATTCATTGACCGTAAACAGTTAATCTTCATTAACCGTAAACAGTTAATCTTCATTGACCGGAAACATTCAATCTTCTTAGACCGTAAACCCAACCGTAAATCCCCCTTTGACCGTAAACTCTCCCTCAACCGTAAACTCAACCGTGAACCCTCAACCGTAAACTCCAAGCTGTGAAAGTTGACTAAAAACTCGTGTTTACGGCCATAATCATTTGATCTCGATTTTTTTTTTTGGCATTTTAGTTAATTTTTCAAGTCGTGGATTCTCAAAGTCGAGTACTTCATCATGAGCTGGATTCTATTATGGGAACAACTACTCGTATTCCTCGACTGTTATCTGCAGAAGGGTTCCCAGAATGGAAGTACAAAATCGAAAAATACATAAAAATGAAAGACTTCAAGGTTTGGAGAAGCATCCTAAAAGGACCAGTCAGAATAACTATGAATCTTCCAACTGGACAAGTAATTGACAAGCCATACGCTGATTACACCGATGAGGATTTCGAAAAAGTTGAAGAACAAGAAAAGAGCACTGGCCACCTTAACTATGGCTCTATCTCCCGACATTGCACAAGGTTTCAGAGAATATACTTTAGCCAAAGCATTGTGGGAAGCATTGATAGAGGTTTACGAGGGAAATGAAGATATGAAGGAAAGCCGTCAGGATATGTTAAGGCAAAAGTTGAACATGTTCAATTATGTCGTCGGAGAGACATTGGAAGCTCAGTTGCAACGATTTACTGCAGTTACTACTGAGATGAGTACAACTGGGATTTACTTGACCGAGTCAGAGATAAACAAGAAATTGCTGAACTCACTTCCAAAATCGTGGGACATGAATGTGGTTGTTATCAAAAAGACAAAAGATTTAAATCGTCTTAGTCTTGCTGAAACAATGGCTATCATCAAAGCATGTGATCTTGATGACAAGCAGCGAGAAATGAACCATGTGAATTCTTACTCAACGGCGAATCTTGGAGTTTCCTCAAATAATGCTTTTTCATCCTATATCGCTTCATCAAGTCAAGCTTTTGCTGTTCAACAGCCTCAAAATCAAACATTTATCACTCCATCAGTTGCTCCATATGTCACTTCAGCATCTGTCTCCCATCCACATGTTGCTTCATCATCTGCTTCTCATCAACAAAGTCAATCTTTTGTTGTTCCTCAAACAGTTTCCTCCTCAAGTGCACCAACTATGGCTCCAGCTTCCCATTCCAAAGAAACTGATGAGAATCTAGCTCTTGCTACTGGACTCGTAAATTGCTATAATGCCTTTGTAGCTGGAGAGCTCCCACCTCAACTCTCATTTGCTGACCCATATCAAATTCATCCAGTGGATGTGGAGGAAATGGACATCACTTGGCAAATTGCAATGGCCGTGTTCAGGGCTAAGCAATTTGCTAAGAAAACAGGAAAGAATAACTGGGGAATGAATGCGGACAAGAAAGTAGGGTTTAACAAGGGAAAGTTGCGCTGCTACAACTGCCACGAGCCGGGTCATTTTGCTCGTGAGTGTCCCAAACCAGAGAGAAGAGTAAACAGTGATCGAACAATGGTTCCAGTGGGAAATGGTCGCGGAAATGCTGCTTTCAATAGTGATATTGCTAATTTAGCAGTGGTTGCTCAGTCCTTTGACTGGGAGGACCAGATTCAGGCACTGAATATTTGAGGACCTGAAAATGCTCACTTGGCTCAAATCAATTATACTCCTGTGGAAGAAGCTGATGTTGATCCTGAAGAAGAAATGATGGAATTGCAGTTTGCTTTCATGGTATCCTCCACTTCAGAACCCGAAAAGAATGAGGTAAGTCAGTCCTGTTGTTCACAAACTTGCATTGATAAAGTTAACAATCTTCTTGAGCATATAGAATTATTACGAAGAGAGAACGAGGACTTGAAATATGAAGCGTATCAACTTAGAAAAAGACAAAAAACCCCTGAAGGCTGAATTAGAAGCAAAAACTAAGGACTTTAGAAAACTTCAGGAAGAGTATAGTGTTAAGAGTACACATTATAGATATGTAACTGAACAACTCGCTGAAGTAACTGATGAGCTTGACACATTGAAAAACAAATTCGAAAATGCAGATTTTACTTTCAGAAAATTTGAAGTGTCAAGTGAAGTAGTTGCATCAATGATTGAAACAAATTTGAAATTTAAAGAGAATCAGTCCAAGGGTTTAGGATATGACAAAGTGCCTCCTCCCTTTAATCATACTTATACAAATATTCCTTTGTCAAAAGAGGAAACGGACAGAGAGCCATTTCTCAAGTATGGATTTGTGTCTGGTGGTATCATGAATGTTGAAAATACTAATGTTTCTACTTCCCATGCAGATAAATCTTTAAGTCTCTCAAAGCAAGAAACTGCAGGATCTGTTTCTGAAAATAAAAAAGCTTTTGTTTCTAAACCTGATGTTTTTGTTTCAAAAAATGACTCTTTTATTTCAAATGTTAAAATCAATGAAACTTCTTGTGATACTTCTGCATCAGATCATATTGATTCAAATTTTTTTGACATATTTGATGATTTGTTTGATAATTCTGATATTCCTGAAGTTGATGTTCCTGTGTTAAGCACATCCACTTTACCAATCACACAACCGGATTCACCTCTACCTCTCACTCAATCTCGTTCTTGCACATGTTCTTGTGGTAAAAGTAAGAGTGTCAATAAAGAGTGCAAATCAGACAAAGGCAGTACCAGTTACAATAATAATAAGCAGATTTGTTTTAACTGTGGTACTGCCAGTCACATCGCTAGGAATTGTCCTCATAGGGCATTTGTGCATTTTTCGTCTAAAAGAGGAAAGAATGAGTCTCGAGGAAGGTCTTTAACTAGAAATTCCTCGCGATCTCATCCTCGAG